ATAAGTAAGTTGGTAACTGAGTAAATTTTGTCTTTTTTTTTGCATTTATCAAAATTTTTAAATTGGAAAAGTACGCAAAGTTAAAGGTAAAAGAATGAAGAACGATGCTGCAAGAATTGTATTACTTCTACAACCTGTTTTGTGAAGTGATGAATTTCCAAAAAAGGTAACCAACCCCGTCGTATTGAAAATAATTGACAATGTCAGTTGTTGTTCTCAACTGCTTTGTTTTGCTTTTAACAAACTTTGCCATTTTTGTTTTATTCTTCTAAATTTTCAAATATTTTCACTTTTTTGCAGGGATGTTTTGTAGTGAATTTTGTTGTTACAGTATAGAGTTAATAGTTGTTACTGTATGCAAAATTAGTACCATATTATTAAAATGCTTATGTTTATTTTAATTTAACTCAGCAGAACAAAGTATCTTGCACAAATAAAATAATACATGTTTTTCATATAAGTTACCTAAACAGAATAAATAGATAAACAGTTACTTTTTTGGTAAATAATAAATATTTGAGGCTAGAAAAGTAGTAATATGTTTGCAAATTGATAAGTTCAAAATTCGTAAGTCATATATTTCACTTTACTATAAATTAAGTCAAAATGAAGTGAATTTTATATTTAACAAATATTTCAATATTTTTTTCTATTTATTTCATGACACAATGCCATTACAATCCATCTACAATATATAAAATGATGCAAAATAATATGTGATACGATCGAGCATTGATAAATATTATATATAAACACATGCGTGTGTAATATAGTATCATTTGGTATTTATTTATCAATTTATCAAATTTTCACCACTATCATTGTGATAAGTGAAAAGCAGTGAAATAGTATTTGACGATAATTCTCGTATTATTTAGCTCATTAATAATTTTATCACATCAATTTACGTTCAGTTGTGACTAACAAAACTTATTTACTAACATATTGAAATTGTCGTACAAATCTAAAGTGTTGAACGAATGCAATATTACAGCATGTGATGGAACAGAAAAGTTCTGTAATTTCAGTATTTGACGTTCTGATAAGAAATTTAATTGAATAAAAAATGCATCCATTTTTGAGCATAAGTGAGTGATTCATTTGTATGCAAGGAAAGTAATATTTATTGCATAAAGTGTAAGAGTGGATGAACACTTGACAATAATATTCAGAAAATGTAAGTACTATTTTTATCAGAAGAGCTGATATTTAATACATTTTTGGCTATTAAAAGTGTGAGACTTCTTTTCTTGCGAATAGAAAATAGTAATTCTTTCGGGCCTTAAAAATTTGAATTAGTTTTACAACAAAGAAATTATATATTTATGACATTATAAAAAAGTTGCTGAGTAAAGATCGTTTAAAATTTATTCATGTAGTTGAGATTACGCTCGGTGTGCATGGATTAATGCTTTAGTAATAAACTTATGTCAGTATTAACTTGTTGCAATGAAAATTAATTTATCAGAAATAACTTATTATGATAAACAAAATAAAAGTAAATAATTTACATAATTATTTGTATTCATACTGTATTTACATTACAACAAGCAAATGCCTTGCTTAGTGAAATTAAATAATAGTCAAAAGTTTTGAAGTGTATCGAAGTTAATGCTAGTTGGTGAGCAGTGATGAAGTCTAGATTAAATACTTTATGCAAATAACACAATTCACAACCTCTCAACCCATTTCAACCACTCTTATACCTGTTTGACAGGTAAATATTGACGATTTCTTTTCAAAATTCCATCTTTACAGACCATTTCTTCGTTTCGTGACTTGACTTGACTTGACTTGCCCCACTCTCATACATGCGCAAATCTATATCCCTCTATATCTATATGTGTGTGCGCATGTTATAGTTCTGATCTAATAAATTACAGCTTTCCGTGCATTTAATATTTTAATATATGAAAATTATTTATTCGCACTTGGCATAAAAATATTTTAGCTAAAACTATATATTATTTATGATCTAATTTGATTAGCTGAGTGCATTTAATCTTAATTTTTATTTATTATAGTAGTTGAAGTTAGTGAAAAAGCAATCCTATCATTTAAATCGTAATAAAATCGACCTATTCCATTCTTTCACTAATGCTAATTTAAGCCTACTCTTGCGATAATACATTTATTTTAATAATGCTATTTCGTACTGTATTACGAATTAGTTCATGTTTACATCAATTAAATTAGGTCAAAATATCTATTAAATGCAAATATGCTCGTCCGATTTATTTGTTCAACAACAAATGTTAAAGTAAAATCTGTAGATTTTAAATTAATTTAAAATCTGACCTTTTTTAGGAAATTTTTACGACATAATTTTCAAACATTTATTTCCTTTTTCTTAAAAATATTGGCATTTACTATTTTTTTAGCAATTTTTTAGATTCATTCTTTATTCTATTCTTAGTTTTTGTCTTTATCATAGTAACTGATTTATTTTCGAGCGTTTACCAAAGATTCCCAAAAAACATTAATATTACAATTTTAACAACAAAAATAGCACAAATAGTTTTTTGATTTCAAAATTTTGATATCTTTAATTTTTTTATTTAGTACAATAATCACAATTTTTTTGTCAAAATATGAACTTATTTGAATTACTGTAATTTAATTGCATTTTTGAATTTTTTTGTGCAATAAAAACACTTGCACCATATATTAAAAAGAGTGTATTTTTGAACTATTTTCATGTCATATTTTATTATTATTTTCAATTTAATAATACTTCAATTCATCAAAGATCATTTTTTACCAATTTATAAACAACAAATAAATATGCCATAAAATGTTACCTTAGCAAATATAAATAAGCACTATTGTAAGGTTACTGCTTATACTATAAACATATTGTAGCAATTTAAAATTATTTATTCGCATTTGGCATAAAAAATTTGCAGCTAAAACTTTTTATTTCTAACAATTTCAGATGACGAAGATATTCGCAGCTAATACAGAAGCAAAGGAAAGTGAAGAAAAAGAGGCGAAGAAGCTCGGGGCAGTCACTGTGTCCTCCACTCTTCCACAGCCAGCCTTCTATCCGATTACACTACCTATATCGTCAATTGGTATATCTTTTATTTCTGCTAATATATTTGACAATTTTTTCTCATATATCTTTTTAGAATCTCATTTTACTTATTACATTGCTTATTTGAATAATTTTTTTCTGCATATAATTTGAGCAAAAATTAAGCAGTAGAAAATTATTGAAGAATCTAAATACAATAACTTAAATCATAATTCAAATCGATTTAAAATTTAGATCATTTGAGTAAATCATAATTCATTTAAAATTTAGATCATTCATTAGCATATAACTTGATAAATTTGATAATGCACTGCAAGCACTAATACCTTATAAATTTTATGTGATAAATTAAGATGTATGAAAATTATCAGTAATTTAAATGAGTTAATTCATAATTAGTATTTATTTTAATATTATCGACTGGTAGATTTTAAAATTTATAAATTCTATTGTGATGTAATAAAAGTTATTGAAAATGAACATGGGGTATTAAAAGTCAAAACGAATTTTTTGCCTACTCTGCTGAAAGTATATTTTAGTTTCGAAGAAGAAGAAATGTCGAGCATCACACATCATCATAGCGTTGTTGCTTCTATGGACTTTGATGACCCTCGCAATCGTGTTCCGTATCGTTCCCAATTCATTTTACAGAAGTGTTCACAACTTTGTTGTAAGTTAGAAAATAAATTTTGCCTAATTCAAAATATTCTCTAAAACCTTCACCTTTTCAATCATTTTCAATAGTGGTTGTGAGATGATCAGAAATTAAACATGTATTTGTAATCCGTATTTCACTTCAAATTTTAACAAACAATAAAGTATGGAAGGAAACATGAATGCAGTAAAAATGAGTTTATTTTAGTTCGATTCTTTGCTTCAGCCATTAGTACTCTTATATAATTGCTTACAATATATAACTAAAATTAATACTATTTTGAGTTATTTTTATAAGCAATTATACTAAATAAGCATATTGATAGCTCTCATGCAATTTATACAATAGATTTGATAATTTTTTTCAAAATTTTTCAAGACAGATGCAAAAATAATGAAAGAATTTTATAATACAAAATTTTATTTTCAACAAAAAAATCGTCTCTGAGAAAAAAATTTTCGCCCAAAATATATTTGTTCTCTGAGAAAATTTTATTTATGCTTATTCTTACAGAATAATTTTTCCTTATTTTTCTACTAACTGAGCACAATTTTGAAGTAGAATAAAGTAATGTTAGAAGATAATATTTTCAGTCAAGTGATAATGGAATTGAAAGTGCTGCAAGAATGCCACCAGCAATATCAGATTATGCTGAAACAAATGCACGTGTAGCAGGAAAATTTGATATATTTAATATGCCAGAAAAAGAAGTCGAAAAAAATCTAGAACAAGAAACAGAAGTAATGGTGGATAATCGTCAGAGAAATGTGATTGAGAATCAGATTCCGGAAGTAGAAGTAAATAAGAATAATGATGGAGATATGAAACAATTTGATACCTCTATCCCGAATCGTTTTGAAGCAATGAAAGCGGTATATGAAGTACTCTTAATTGAAGAAGTCATTTTAGACCACTTGAGTGTGAAAATGTTTAATAGATTGAGAACAAGAAAATGCCATTAAGAATTCCAGAAAGTCTTCGTATTTTACAAACTAGTTGATAAAAGAAGAATCTGTTTACGAAAATTAAATCAGCATAATTCTTCATCACAAATCTATCCAGACATAAAGTCTACATATCTAATTTGTATGATTTCTTTAGGATTTTTGACAAGACCATTTGCGCATCTAATTCTATAAAAATCGAACATATTTAATACACTTCAATTTTCTTTGCAGATTGAAATGCTATTAAGGATTCCGGGTGTTCAACAGGTAGCCATTGTTCAAAATAACGGTAGATTACCCGAGAACCCAATACCAAAATCCGATTTTCCAGCTGACGGTTCACACTTTTAGTTTTTGATAATTTTAATAATCAAAAATTTAGCTCCAACCCAAGCATAATTATAATTATATTACTCGATGTACATAAATATTAACAATCAAGCCATTAAATATATTGTTGAAATATTATACAAATGTCACATATAACTCATGGATAAAGTTTAGAGAATCTCAGAAATACAGAAGAAACAATTCCACCCCAAATGAGACCATTTGAAAGCGCACAACAAGCTGAAGGTTAGCACACTTTCCCTCCGCATAAATATGTTTTAATCAAAAAGTTTACTTTTTACACCAAATGCTTAGCTCTTATTAGTATTTGTATAATATGCAAACAAATTAGTTACGTTCTAATTAGTAAAATTATTATTATTATGTCATTTAATGCACAATAATATTTTTTTGCGCAGTTGTTTCAATTTATTTGTAATTTTAGTACCATTCATAGCACAAATGCAAATGAATGACTGGAGACTAGCAAAGTAAGACCATTTTACTGAAAATCTTTCATCTAACTTTAATTTTAATTGAAGTTGAAACTTTTTTAAAAATGTAATGACTTTTTTTTAAGACGAGAAATGAATTTATTGTGCTGTAGTCTCGCAATTCAAGTCATTATTGTATTGCTTTATCATTAATTATTATTATATATCATAATTTATTATTCATTATTATCTGTTATTTATTACTATCGCCATTGTTATTGCATTTTATGATTAAAAAATTTTTAATTGAAAAACACTTATTAAAATGAAATTAAAGTTATCAACGAGCAATTCGAGAATGGTTATTGCGTCGAGAAATGTTTAGAAGGCGAATTTTGATAGAATTAGAGAGAGGTTCAGTTTTGTGAAATTTTAAATTGAGAAAATATTTTTCTAGAAAGTAATATTCACATAAATAAACATTTCTGCTTTTTAAATGACTGACATATCTTAAATATTGGGAACTATGAAATCATACTGAATTTGAATTCACGATTTAAAGCTTTTCAAAATATACTGCAAACATTTTTGAATTATTTTGGCATCTGAAATTCTTGTTTTGCTAGTTATTTAGTAATATAATATAGAAATGAATCAACGCGAAGTAGAAATGTCAACTACGAAATTTAATTTTGATATGGATATGATTCAGAACGAGAAGTAGCAGCAGAGCGTGAAATGCCCCGATTTCTAATGGGACCACAAATACGAGAAGCACAGGAGCCTCAGATGATGCTTCCATTTCAGCAGATTCGCATATTGCAGCAACCTATGCTACCTTTCAATCGAGCTATACCATCGATGATGACAACAATGATGCAAAATCAGCGTAATGTACACAGTTTGCCATTGCATCTGGTGGCACCCAGAATTCCTCCTATGCATCCTTTCCTCTTTCCTCAATTACCGAAACTTCAACAGCAACAAATGCCACAAGAGATGATCCGTATTCCGATTATTCCACCTCAAGTAATTCAACTTAAAACTATTTCCTGAAATATTGAAACTATAAAATAATCTCATTGTAAATGATAAATAACTTTTTACATTCATCATTACAGATGTTCAACAAAGCACCACAAGATAACATGGAATCTGGTCCACCTGGCATTATTCCTCCTTCTCTTCGAGACAACACTATAAATGTGTAAGCTACAGATTCACGTGTAGCACCAAAGTTACAATTTTTAAATTTAAACAATGCTTGTGAAATTAAATAAAATACACGAAAACTCACCTCTACCTTTTTTCTTACTTCAGAATTATACTAGAAAAGATATCTGACAAGGAAGAACCAGACTACCATAATATTTATTTTTTCGTAACTGAAATTACTTTGAATATTATTCAGTGCAGTAGAAATATCTCTCAAAAAATACCCCTAACGTATTTTGATTTCTTTCCAGAATCCATATTTTTGCACCAACTTACATAATGCTTCTTATTCATAAATAAATAAATGTATTAATTCCAGACCTGAAGTAGAAAGAAAAGTGCCGCTAGTTAAAGAAGTAAGTCATATTCAATAATATTATTGGCAGGAAAGAAATTCACGCTTCGTATTCAGGAACTGTTATGAAAAGCTTCATTTTTCAGCAAACACCGATAGTTCTCGATGGTACTAGTACAAACAGAGACATGATCTTCAAGGAACTTCGATCCCGAGCTCAAGTAATCAATTTAACGAAAATTCTAAACAGTTTGTTTAAAGCAGAATAACTTTGGCTTCATTTTCAATCACTTCAAGCCAGAAAACTTGACACTTTGATTCCTGATAAAGCTTTCAAAAATTTTCCATGAGCTTATCAGAAGTGCTCTTTTTACATATTATGCATTCAACATGAAAAAGTTAAGTTATGCACAATTAGCTTACAATCAAACTTCAATTTTCTTTATATCTTTTTTGTAGATGCAACAACAACAACAACAACAACAGCAGAATTTATTACAACCAGTTCAGCCTTCGATAATGATTAGACCAGCAATTTCTGATACCATTCCCCCAGCTCAAAAAAATGCAGACGAAATTTTCCGAGAACTGCAACAGCAAACACTTAAAATGCAAATTGAACAAGATCAGCTTGAAGCTGAAGTAAGACAGGAAGTAAATATGAAAGCAATCTTTCAAAAATTTAAATTTTGATTGATGATGAAAATCATTTCTAGCTGACAGACTACATTAGAAAAACTGATACTTTCAGTACTGAAGCAAAATAATAGATCAGTAGTAAAAACAGCTGATGACAGAAGAAAATTTATAGAAAGTTAAAAATGACGCACCATCGCCAATGATAATGATTGCGGATACATTTCCCAGACAAGTCATTGTGAATGAAGTAGAAGACATAGAAGCGGAAACAACTAGCCTTCCTGAAGACGAAACAACTGTCACTGCCACGCAAAGCACCACTAACTCATCTGAACCTTTCGGAGCCTTTCTCAAGTATTTGCAGCAAATTTACTTATCTCTGATATTACTTAGTAACAAAAGCAATAATTGCTTTCTTTAAGATAATGTACATTTATTTATTAGTAACTGAAATATTCACAGACTTTTCGATCTCAAAGAAAGCACAAAAGAGGATGATTCTAGTGAAGAGCACCAAGACATTACAGCGATCCATGAAGATATTAAGCCAACAGTAGAGGTCAACTTTTGAAATGTTCACTCAAGTTTTGAGTTAATTTCAATCAAATTTAGATATGATAAATCAAAGAAATAAAGATTTAATATAAATTATTCATGTAATAGTGCTTTGAAGAAATCATCTGAGGAGGACAAATTAAACAGTCAGTCAGCATCTGAGAAGGAGATGGAGATGGGCGATAAGACAGATAACAATGCTGCAGAAGCTAGTTTCATTCAAGGTTCCTCTTTTTTACATAATATTTTTATTGAGAAAAAACTTCTAGTCAATGCAGCACGGGAAGAACAGAAAGTTATATCTCATTTTCTGATTGTAAAATGGGAAAAACAATGAAATTAAAGATTAAAGATAAATATCTTACAATTCACTTCATATTTCAACGAGAACTAGTTTTGTTTGAAATCATTGATATCAGTCACTCCCAACACAAGAATACGATATTATTTCATACTGATTTTCTCATAATGTCCATTGAAAGTATTATCAAGTACTTTCGACAAATGCTATCAAATAATTTCTTCGGTAACATCATACCCTAACAACTTTGCTATCAATTAATTTACTTTAGATTCGCTCAGCACTAGCATACCGGCAATGAGTGAAGACAACTTGGAGCTAGATCAGCCAGAACCTCCTTCACCGTCAGGTATATTTCCAGATACTAAATCAGACGATAATCATGATGGGGACACTGCATTGGATTCTTCGATAAGTCTAAATGAAGCACCCAAACGCCAGCAGTGATTACAACTGTACAAATTGGATATATGAACCTTCTGAATTTACTTACTTATTTCCTCACTTTTCTTTACACACTAAACAACGAAAACACCATACAAAATAAACTTGTTTACAAACAAAGACAAAATATTAGACATCAATGCTAATTTGTTAAAAGTAGATTTAAACTCGAACCTTTTGCAACAATGGACCCAGATTTTTTTGAAACACATGGACATCAAAAGACAGACAAGGTTCTAACATAAATTTCCAGATGAGTCCTTAATTGTTGAATATACCAGAACATTTTCTGAAACTTGTGTTGTCTTCTCTAGTTAAATACTAGGTAGATCGTCCAAAACAATTTGAAACTTCTGACACAAACTAAACACATAAACACATCCAAATCGCCACACTATTAAACAACCCCTAACTTTTAAATATCCACTTTCTCCATTTTCTCGATAACAGAATTCTAATTCACTTATTTTCCCATTTTCAAATAATAAAGTGCCGTGTTTTGATGTGAAGCACAAGATACGCGTAAGACATATAGAATAATTAGAGTGGGTTAGAAAAAGTGAAATAACTGTAGACATGAGACATAATCACTATCAATAACAAAGAGCTAGAAAACAATGCGAAACGAAGGAACATGAGGACTACTCTCCAAATTTCTCTTTCAAACAACAAATCAATCAAGTAATTCCTGTTTATTAAAATCCAACCCATTTATTTTATTAACGATCCGTAGCAAAGGAACAATATAACAATTAAAAACACCTACTTCCCAAATAATATTCATCAACATCCACTCAACATGATTTTCTAATATTGCTTCACCATTAGATTAGCTACAAAATAAATGAAATTCAAGATAAAAACATGAATAATACTATTTTCGCATTTACTGTTTAAACTATTTTCACCGTTTAAATTCCATAAGTGGACGTTTAACAAAACATTGCAAGAGTTATAGCTGCACTGCAATTTTTTAATTGCGTCAAAACAATAAATTCAATTTGAAACTGAATCTGAATAAATCATAACAAAAAACTACTTGGTAATTAAAAACCATATAAAACAACGTGTCATAATAACTAGAGCGAAACTACAATAGAGATAATAATTGAAGTCAACACATAATACTTTTAAAAGTCGATATTCAAGAACTTCATCAACATCATCTTAGACATGCACTAAAGTTTGTCAACTAATTTAATTACTAAATACACAGTATTAAATTACATTACTTATCGATATAATTTGGATCTACAGTGACGTAAGGAATAATTACTAGTTTACGTTCTGATGAAATATATTTGAGACCACAAATTTTTTTTCGAAAAATGTGTTCTAAAAAACTCATGTAAAGCATATAAAGAAAGCAATATAAGTTTTATTCATCATATTTATGAGTTAACGTGACTGAAATGGTATAAAAAAGGGATCAGAATGATCAGATGACAAACTTTCCTTCACAATTATTAAAACCAAAGACAGAGGACGATTCTTTTTGAAAGAAATTATAAATAAAAAGTATGCTACTACATGAAGATATAAAACTACGTTCATTTCTGGCGCCAATTAGGTTCCTCATCTGCTGCACTCTTTCGTTGTAAGAAACCACCACGAGCTGAACAAGTAATTCAGTGAAGAAAACAAAATTTTTGAGAAATTACAAAGTTCCGAGTGAACAATACAACACAATAATCAAACTTAGGATAGACCTGAATATGATCTCACGTTCAGAAACTCGGGACTTTTTTAACGATGAATAAGAAACCTTTGATAAGGAAATACATAATGATTCTTATTTAAACGAACTTACAGAAATGAGCACCGTGTCCGTCTCCAGCACGTTGGCCTGAACGACTCCATTTACCAGTAGCAAGCTCATTAGTACTACTTCCTTCCAATATTCTTCTAGATGTATTAGGATTGGTGGGAGCGCCATCTGCTTGACGAAGTCGTGAAGAAATCCATGGCTGACTTTTTGGAGCTGAAAAAACTGCTTATTGTCTGGTACGGAATATTTCAAACAGTCAGATATTGATAATAAAGAAAAAAGAGTGAACAATAAAATAAAGCAAGGATAACGCCATATTTGAGATTCAAAGCACATAATACCTGTTGAAGATACCCGCTGCGAAGAATCGACATGATCAGTTGGACGCGATGAGACAAATAACCCTCGTTTCCATTGTCCTGAATTAGCTACAGATGGTGCTGGTTTTGTATCTCGTTGAGCACCTGTAGGTTCGCCACGTCTTTCCATGAATGACTGAAAATACTCATTAAGTATGATAGTAATGAATACATTTCATGCCATGAAATGAATGTATTTCAATGTCCAGAAAGTTAAAATTTACCGGTTGTCCAAAAGGTTGATTTTTGTCACGTTCCATAACTTGTCCTCTCCTCCAAACTCCTGAAGTATCTGCTTCACTACGTAGTTGTTCTTTTTCAGGAAAACGAGATGGTATCAAGGGACGTTCCAAATCACGAGTTTGAGTTTCTTGCCTTTGCAGTGCAGTAATAAAGTTTCCTCGTGTCCATGGTCCACTTTCAGCTTCTGATACAATCTACAGAGCAGAGATTATTTGCCTCTCAATTAATCATGGCTCTGAATATAAATTCCAAAATGTTAATAGTGAAAGAAACTAAAGTTACCATCGGAGCGCGTTCACGATGATATTCACCTTCCACAAACCGATCTCCAATAGGTTTAGACACTGACAAAGTTCGAGACTGGATTGGGTGAGCATTTCTGCTCCAATCAAGTTCGTCTACTTTGTCAGTCATTTCACGCTTAGGATTACGTGCCGCTCTTCGCTCCTTTTCTTGCTCTTCTTTTCTTGCTTGTTCTGCTGCTTCTTTTGCCCTAGTCAATTCTCGTTCGCGCTCCTACAAATTTAAATTTATGTAAAAAATGATATTTTTTAATAGGGCAATAAATCTCATTTTATTATTGCAAGATATATCTGACAAACCTGAAGCCATTCTCTCCTTCGTTCTTTCTTTCTGAGTTCATGACGTTCTTCAAGACGTTTCCGTTTCTCCTCCTCCAATTTTCTTTGCCACTCTTGCATCTTCTTCTCAAAATCCTCAGCATGTGCTTTTTTAACAGATTCAAGAAATGCAGCTGCATCGGGATCCATTCTTACTTTCTGCATGCGTTCATAAACAGCCACAGCATTTTCATGCTCCTTACTGAAAAGTAGACAAAAAATATTGACAAACTTTACAGTTTGACAATTGAAGTCATTTTTAATGTAAGCATCGACTTGATGGACAAGACAAAATTGTACAAATCCATCCAGTGACGATGCACTCTCTACTTTACCCTGTGTTTACAATAAACAACTTACAAAAAAGCTGCTACTGTCAATCCAGGTATACATTAGTTCAATGAGCACCTTAATGATAAATTTTGATCAACAAAAAGTTAACTTTTAACATACATGGCAGTTTCAATACGATACTTTTCGTAAGCCTCATGATTTTCTGGAGCTTTTATAGCAAAATTATCTGAAATAGCTTTGCGAGCTATTATTTCTTGCAGATGATAAGCACGAACAAGATGATCAAATTTCTTTTCTTGTTGTTGCAAACGTGCTTGTTGCTCGCGACGCTGTTCATCCAAACGATCACGCTGCTCACGCAGCACTAAAAAATACTCCAATAATCTTGAAAAATAAATCATATGGAAGAGCAAATATTCACAGCAAAGCTTCCTAATTATACCTGAATCTGGATCCATATTCTGAAACGCATCTTCGCCATGGTCCTTTACAATAGCCTGATATATTGGAGTAGATTGAATCTTCTTCATTTTTTCTGCTCGTAGTCTTCGATCCATCTCTTCTTGTTCAGCGAGTTTGCGCATTTTTTCTTTCTCAATATTTTCTTGTTCTAACCGACGCATTTCTTCAGCTCTTCGTTGTTCTTCCTTTCTGTTTGCCTCTGCTTGCGCTTGCTGGCACTTCTCTAGCTTTTGTCTTTCACTAGTTTCCTTGTAACTTTCGATTTTTTTTCTACGCAACATGATGCGTTCGTAATCAGCATCTTTATGATATAGATATATTTCTGCATGACGTTTTAACTGAAAATAAAGTTTGTTACAAAGGACATCAGTAACAATTATTAGAACATCTTAAGGCACATACGTCATTAAGAGCATCTTTTTTGATTTTTTCATGGTCGAGGATTTGTACTACGTTTCTTAAATTATTGTACATCGACTGCAGATGAGTTCTGATATCTTCCGCGGCAATCTAAAACAGGTGATATATCTACATCCTAATTTTTATTGTTCCTCTTACTTTTTGTGCAATCAAAAGAAATACAAATTTACCTATTTCTGGATAATAAATTTCCATGGGCAGCTTGAATAATGAACATTACGAAACTTTTTTAAGAGCGGTCCCTACTATACCTAAGGAATTAGAATTAATCATTACTAACTACAGATATCTCAATGGCAAAGATTAAAAAACCTGTTCTGCATCATTCCCGAAACCATCTGAAGCTTCTAGATCAAAAAAACCAGAAAGCGCTGCATCTGTTGCTCCAAAATGAATACAACCACCACGATGATCAATGCGAGCCTAAAGAATATTTCAATAAATCATAACTGAGTCCGAGGTAAAATAGATAAATTTCAGTTCCTCTCTCAAAAGAAAAAAAACAATGGTACTTTTTAATTACAATTCCGCGCAATCGAAGTCCACTTACTTTTACATAACGATGTTTTGCTATGTCGACCAGAAATCGTTCCAATTCAATGCCATTAAAAAACGGGATCACTTTTTGGATACGCTTAATTGACAGAGTGTCATAAATGAGGGAAATATGCTTTATAACCTTCGTAGCTGTTACGCTCCTGAGGGCATCGATATATTGATTATACTCAACTTTCTTCAATTCTGCTACTTGTTCTAGCTCCGCTTGCACCTCACGTGCAAGACGTAATGGTACGAAACTACATTCCAATAATCTGAAATTTATAACATGAAAACGATTTATTTTAGCTTATATCAGTAATACCTACAGCAGTGATGACAAGTACAGTTACATATTTACTGCATTTGAACTATAAACAATAGACATTTTAAGTGACCAACTTAAAATAAAAACAAGTAGTAAACGAAATCTCGAAATGATACTAGAAAATCTTAATTTCAACAGTCTTTCGTATGATCGCAAAACTTTACCGATATAAATTTCGTGCATTGTCAACCACAACATCAGGCAAATTCAACCGAGTAATTTCTTTTAAAATTCCAACTCTTGTTGGTGCCACTGGTAAACGAAGAAGATTTGATAGCAGTCTGTTAAAAATGAATTAATTCTGAGACAAGTAATAAAAATTAATGCTTATTTAAATCTTATGTCTGCAAGAATTTCAATGTCCCACACTTTTGTGAAAAAAATATTCTTACACTCCAAAAGAGCGTCCAAAAGTGCTGAAACTGAAATATAACATTTTTACATACAAAATTTCAATATATTTTAAAATGTAGAATTACGACAGGGTACTTTCATAAAGGTTCGATTCATCGATATAGTGTCTTAAAATACGGATAAATGTACTCTTGATAAGCGATTTGCAAACAAAGAGAGATGCTTTTGCATGTACGCATATCACCTCGATCGATGTTCAGTCGTGATGAACTAAGACATGCTTTCATATTTCCAAAATATGAATACCAGAATTTAAAATGCCAAAAGAGACTCAGCAGTAAGTTTTCTATTTGAACCACGACTATTGGATCACGTCCCATACCATGTGTGAAAAAAACTCCTATATATAATTCACATATGAAAATAGAAATTGCAATTAAATCACCGCATATTGGCAAGATGCTGCTCCTCAATATCCAAATGTCGCGTCAAATCAGATGGATTATCAGCGCCATCTGGAATTGAAAGTGTTGCTAAGAGTACACGCGTCGCTTGATCCGTAGCTTCTTCCATGCTAAACGTTTTCTTCATATCTTTATTTATGATATATTTTTGAAGAAGAGCAGCAGCATGGAACAATGTGTTACCAGCTTTCCAAAACACCAAAGCAAGCTGAAAAAAATTAGCCCCTATAAATAAATTATCAAATAATATGCTACAAATCAATAACGAAGATGTTAAAATGATATATTCGATTAGACTTTAAAATAACACAAGAAAGTTACCACCAACACCCGAAAAAATCTCTATAAATGTAACTAAATGAAATAAAAGAATACCAAAGAGTTTGCAAAGTAGTGAAAAGAACTTATAAGACTTGAAAAACTATTAAAATCAATTGTACATTCAGTGTTGAATATAAGAGGAGAATCGACATATCTCCAAACCAACTTCAAATGAAATTATTTTGCACGTCTAAATGGATCACCCCACTGTAGAGTAGTGGAATGAAACGAGAACGTGCACTCGATTGACAATTAAAGTCTCTCCATCTTTTGCAAGAGAGATTCGAACTCTAAGTAACAAACTACAGTGCTTGCACCAACCACTATGCCAACAGACTCTTTCACACCATACACCAATGAATTTTTAGAACCATACGGTTTCTCATTTTCCTCATTACTAATCGCTTTAATGCAAACATTTAAGAAAAATAAAAGTGCGTTATCGACCAATTTTTACGCTATCAAGAACTATGATCAATTAAAATGTCTCATCTCTTAAAATGAGTACCTCAAATACAGATGACAAAGAAGTACCTTATCATAATAATTGGCATAGCTTGCTGGTTTGACTGCACATTCATCTTTATCTTTGCTTAACTGCATCATGCCATGAACATCCTCAGCACTTTTATATGCTTCTTGCCACAATTCCATTTGTATCGCTGTATCTAACTGGATTAGACGTGTATCTTGCATTAATGTTAAGGATTCTGCACTCGTTAATTTGACTCTAAAACATGACCACATATGTTTGCAGTTATTAAAAGACTAGTCAATTCATTAATTCGGTTTAAAATTCTCTAACTTTGTACTGCTGATCGCAAAATGAAAGATGTACTAGGTTCTACTGAGTTTTCAGCTTCAGTGAAAGACAAAGTGATCTATAAAGAAAACTAGTACTTATACGGAATAATGAATATAAATCCGAAAGAAATTTAGAAGGAATTCTAAAATGCTTTGAAAACTTACACATGCGCTAGATGTTGGTGTTTCTGAATCTGAGTCAAATGTAATCGAAGACTATCACATAATTTGCGAAATTCCGTTCGTCGTTGATACTTGGCACAGAATTCAAAGGATTGACGAGCAATACGGTGATAAAGTTGCTCAACCTCAAAATGTGAATATTTTTGTTTTTTCAAACATTTAACCTTGACTAATTAATTTTACGAGTGTTTTTGCGTTTAAATCACTGATCACAGTCGTGAATATTGTCATAATTTATATTGGCACTGAATTTTAATTTTGAAAAAGACTAGAAAAACTGACCACAGCAGTATTTCTTAATAGATCCAGACAATTTCGATATGAGTCCCACAGAAAACGCAACCATGGACTTAGTACAGTCCTATCCATTCGATCTTGAACTGCGTCGCCAGATACAGCTGATAATAGCAAGCTAAAATAGATATTGATTATAACTGTGCCAATATTCGTGCCAATAAAAATATAAAACATTCGTGAATATTAAAAACAGACTTTTCAGGAGCATCAGCTTGGTCCAAATCATCAATTTCCTCAACTTTCTCAATAGAAGTTTTCTGTGCTTCTTCAGTTTTCTGCTGCGCAAGCTCCAAAAAATGTTGTATTACCGTCTCGAGTGACTTTATAGCAATCTGAAATTTATATTACTAGAAATGAGACAAAGTTTTGAAATACTTTTTAGCATGCAAGTGCTGTCACAAAGAAGAATTGATGATAAAATAGAAATCAGCTATCTTCTTCTCTGCAACTAAATGAAGTGCTTTTTAAATCAACTTCACAATTTCAAAAAATAAAAAGCTTTTGAAAAACCTGCTGAGTGAGTGTTTTATACTGGAAAAGAGCGTCTTTCGCATCATGAGAACGTCGCAAAGAAACACATAGTTCCATATGTTTCAACATAATTGCTTCATGTGTTTTCGTCCACTGTTTATGACGTCTCGACTACAAAATACTTGAATTAAAAATATTACCTTCGCTAATTTAGAAATTCATTATCAGAGATGATTAGAACCTGACAAAGTGATAATATTGTAAACATATAGAACGTGAACAGTTGAGTAGTAGCAAAGTCAACCAACCTACAATAAATGACAGAAGCATAAACTATAATAATTCAATGTGATGTTTTGCACCATCTTATTATCCTGAGTATTCAATTACAATGTCAGACAGTCCAAAAAAAAAACAACTGTAAATTGGTGCTTGAAAACATGGTAACTGAAAATACCATATTTTTGATTAACCAATTCTTTCATCGTTTTGCATCAGCGACTATCTTTATTTGTCAACAAGTGTGTTGAAACTAAGGATCATTAGTCGCAAATGCATTTAAACAATTACTATAGAATAAAAAAATTACCTTTATAGTATCATGCAGTGTTTCTAAAGCATCAACTTCCTTGCCAACCGAAATGAGCTCCTGAGCGCGCTTTAAAGCCGTTTCAGGCTTTTGGAAAAAGTTGGGAGGCATATCTTCCGAATGCTTTTCTTTAACTGCAAATTAATGTCTCCCTGATGATGATTTTGAAATGCTGAAAACTGGAAAGATTAGTATATTAATAACTGATGAAATAAAATGACACAAGCGCTCAAACAAAATAAATGTCAAGAGTTGTTTTCTTAAAGAAGACAGAGTATGAACTATTTTATAATTTAGCACTTAAGAACAGTTTATCTGGAGCACATGACAAGCAGTAGTAGCACCTCTTAAGCAAAATACATACTGGCAATTCTTCACTAAATTCATATATCTTTGAAATTTGCTAAATTACTGTTACTGTTAGTTCTTGCTAAGAAAACACTGTACCAAGTTACCAAGTTATCGTACTGTACTTTTTATGCCAGACTCGTAATCTACACTCAAGTGCTAGTAGGAAGGTGACCGTATACTTTGACCTTTCCATAAATAACAGTCAATGTTCGATAAGTCATACGAAATAGAAACATGAATAAAAATTAATAGCAAAATGAATAAATGATCAATAAACACAAAACACGAAATGAGAGAACTCCTCACCACTCTCAACCTACAGAAAAAGGAGCTCCCAAAAAATTATCCAAGAATTTAACCGTTGCAGGATTCAATTCTTTCTTGCAGCTTAAAACCCAATGTTGTTTTTTCTATGAAACAAGTTAAGTCAAAATAATTTAAGTTTTAGAGCCTTCTTTGATTGAAATGTCTATAAGCAGATGTGTTGGGTAATAAAATAATTAAAAACAAAAATCTTTTTCATAACACTTCAAAAAGGTCAATTGAGATCAAGAACTGGAACAGATAACAAAATTGATGGCATTGATTGGATATAAAAATTAACTGTTCGGTCAAAGTTTCTTTTTTCAATACATTGTTTGGTATTGACTGAAAAGATTGTGCTTTTAAAATTGTAGAAAATATATGCTAAAAATTAATTATCAAGACTGCCAAATAAGCTAAAAAAACATCCCAAACTAATACTTGTATTTTCTTGGGATGTTTTATTTCTAAGCGCGTCCGTGAAAAGTGTCGCTATCATGTAACACTAAATGCATACTCGAATCTGTAAAACTTCGAATTTTTCTGAAATTTTTTGCTTTTGAGTGTCTGCAATTTTTTGCATATTATTTTCACGTGACGCTAAATTGTAATAATCCTCTGATAATATGTTGATAAGAGCTATAACATCATACAGTTTTGACTTCTGACGTAAAAGTAATACGCAGATAATTTACGTATTGAGACAGAACTGTGTGATAATTTAAAGAATAATGATTTCCTTCGTTAATTTCTTGGAATGATTGCTGCAGCAGTTTTACTTTAATAATTTATAATACATTCTATCGTAATATCATGTCAAGTACTATGTTATCAGATTTCTTCCTTTTATTGTACTCTTTGCCTCGGTTTTAGCTTAAGCATTGAAAATAGTGCTAATTGCAAGCTGCGCAGTCTTTGAAATTCAGCTTTGACTTTTATAACTTAATTGGATTGAAGTTATCTTTTTACTACAGACTTTCAGTATCCTCCCATTATATCTATATTTTCAAGCACGCGTGTTTCATGCGTATAACAGATGTTTATTATACGTGTAAATGTTTGATACTCGAAAGAAAATAATGTGAAAATGGTTGCTTTCATCTATGTGCCAGGAACATGGAAGGCATCTCTTAACTTTCGAATTAAGCGAACTGAATTAATTTGATAAAATTTTTTACGCTATTTGTATGCCGCAAGTACACTAAATTCAGAATCATTTCAAGTGTTCCACTTTCCACTGAATTATACAGATCATAAATTACTTGGTAATTCATGGGTGATTAACTCTCAGCATTGCATCAATGAATACAAGATATAGTTTACATTTTTTCATAATGTGAGGTATTCATGGTTGTGTATGAGAGAGTATTATCCTGGCCTCTAATTTTCAGTTCAGATTTTGAAAAAAAATTATTTGATAATTACTTTTTCTCCAGAAGTAATTTGGTAGATTAGTTTAAAGAAGTCCATTTAATTACTGTATGCTTGCTAAGAAAATGTGAAAGTAGAATGAAAGAAAGCAGTAAGAAAAAAGAGAAGCTTCGAAGTTAACTGAAATTTGTACATGTAGGCGAATTAATTTTTTGGTGAATGAAATTATTCCATATATCACAGCAGGTCTTCCTGCTTGTATTAATTCTAATATAATTAGAGATTAAAATTTTGCATTTTCTATTGCTGTTGATTTTCTGCTTTCCAATATATCTTAATTAAGTAGTATTGATTATTGAATTAAAAAAATTCATTTAGAAGAAGTGGATTTTATATATTTACTTCTCCATGGTGAGAAGTGGGACTTCTGTGGAGTAAATGAGATGGATTAGGTAGGTATTTAATTTATAAGACTGAAAGTCGAAAGTGGTCACTTGGTCACTTTAGGTTGCAGGAATGGATTTTTTTCTTTGTTTTAGGAAACAAAGATGGGACTGGCTGGTATGATTGCAACAGGTACAGTGGCTACAACTGCTATTGCTATGACGGCTGTTTGTGTACCTTTTATCACGCCAGGATTGCGTAAAATCTGCATACCTTATGTTCCAGCCACACCTCGACAAATGCAAAATATTGCCACAGCGTTAGCAGCATGTCCGACTGAATTTTCTCCTCTTGTCGATTTGGGTAGCGGCGATGGACGTGTTGTGAGCTTATTTCTTTTCTTCCTCATTTCTAATATTATCAGTCAAAAGCAAAAGAGCACAAAAATACATTCTACTTTTACCTCTGATTATTATTTGTGTTTGATTTTTATTTGCATTGCATTGATTCGATTCTATGGGACAGAATTTGATGTTTAATGATTCATGTTCAGTAAGCGGTTTCATGGTAATGTTCCCATACTCACATCACAATGCTCAGTGATTAATTTTTCTTCTTCTAGTTTAATTTCAGTCTAAGCCTATTGTCTGACTTCTCATTACCAAAGCTCTATTTCACTATTAATATTTTTTTTCATATGAAAAATTGAGGGAAAAATTTCTGATATTGGGTTGTTGAAGAAAAGTGACGCAAATTATGAATAATGGTAGTTCAAGAGATCAGAAGAGTTTGACTGCTTTGTTTGAGAATGCAACGTTTTTCTTCATTTCTTGTCGTATTTAATATCTGTTTACTTGAGCACGGAGTGTGCATCGTTTTCAAACTATTATAGGAAATGCGGTTGCAGAATGTGCCAAAAGAAAATCAAGTCTTAAAGAGTACGTGTGTTTATGCAATACTTATTATGTGCTTTGATTACATCTGTCTGGTTACTGATGAGTAATCAGTAAACAGATTCTGGATTCTCGTGACTTAAGTTTTCTGATTACTATTTCAGATATTTTTTGGTATATTTTACTAATTTGCTTATATGATTAATGCTTTGGAAAAATCTGAGTGAGATACAGTGAACTGCACAAGTAAACATTGTTTTTGTCCTTAATTAGTGCCTGTCTTTATAAAACTTATCATTGATTTGGTTTTGTGTCCATCATTTTCTGTCCATGACTATAATATATGGTTTGTGAATATTGAATACCATAAAATATCTGAGGTACTAATTAGAAAACTGAAGTCTGTTGTGAAAAGTAATTGCCCTAAACTGCTAATCATCATTTTTGTTATCCTTAGATCAGTACTATTTAATATCATTCTCTCTTAGTAGCTGCAAGAGATGTAATTAGTTTTGCTAAATATATCATAACGAAAAATTTTGAGTTTTTGGCTTTGTTTCAGATACGAGCGCTATTCCACTATTAATAATATAAAAAATTATTCTTACAAATGATGTTTGCTCTCTCGTTTGCTGCTTTTCCCAGTGCTTCTCATTTTACGCTTTTACTAAAAGTTGCAAGGAGGATAAAAAATTTTGGCTTAAAATTATCTTATCTTATTTATGCTCTCTTATTATTAGACGAGAAAGAATTGGTATCCATTCATCTATCTATCTATCTGTCTGTCTATCTATCTATCTATCTATCTGTCTATCTATCTGTCTATCTATCTATCTG